ATAAAATATTTAATTTCTGAAATGTGGTTATAATTATACTTAGGATGATTCTAACATTCTTTTGATACATGTATTTGTTTTAATTTCAATAAAGGTTATGCAAGATGTTGCACAAAAATTTAAAGAAAGACTTGAACACATTGCATCCAACCTCCCATCACATCTCCCTGGAGTTGAAAAGACATCACAAAGGTAAAACAATTGAGTCACTGAATGAAAAGGTGCATATTTACTAAGAGCCTCTCTTTATAGTTAAAGGAGTCACATATCACATGGTTATCTTCTTGAGTGCACTTACTCTCCCACTGCATTGAGAGGTTCATTTGTTAAATATTGATACATGTATTTTTTGCTCCAGAGCAAAAGAAGTTGACAGGGCTCAATTGATCCCAGGAGAATTTGGTAGAATTTCTGACATTCTGTGAACATTACAGCTTTTGGGAACTAAAATATGGTTTATCACTGTTACACTGTACCACTGATAGTGTTCTTTCAAAACCATAAGGCAAATAAGAACTTTCCATATTGATACTTTGCCATATTGATTTTATATCCTTATACATATGATGAAATCACATTACATTTGATGTTTGTTTCTCTTTCAAAAACTGCAAATGAATCATCTACATCAGTAGTAAGATATCAATCTTTTCCATTTTGTCACAATAGCATTTTTCAAGACAGTTTCAAAGTAAATTTGAAGTAAAACAGCACTATTCCTAGAGCTTACCTATTCCATTTATGATAACATTAAACCAAAACAAAAACCTAAAATATATCTTCACATGGTTACTGATATTTACAAGCAAAATTTTATTTTTTGTCCCAACTGTGATCATTTAGAGTTGTTTTGAAAGAGGAAGTTGCAACAGAGAATGTGAAAAAGCCAAGAAAGACCCGCAGAGCTAAAGATTTATCAAGCGAGGATGGATTTGAGTTTCCCAAGTTAGCATATCTCACAGTTGAAGAGTTTGATCAAATACCAAAGTAAGAATTTAATCCAGAGACAAGTAATTTAAACAACCCCTACATCTCAATAATTGAGATTATAGACTTCTTCCAGTTTCCTGTACCTAATCAAGGAGAGAAGATATTTGTACCCCTTCCTGCATTAGAATACTTCTGTTTGTAACTGTCTGGCTGAAGTACAGGACTGTAGCAGGGTTTTTTATAACTACATTTGTTGATATAAAAGCAGCTTTTACTTGATTTGTTCCAAAGCTCATTTCACTATTGTTATTTTTTTACTTTGCTTTGTTTTGTGTTGTTCTCATAGACCCTTTTTAAATAACCTACTCTTGCATACCTTACTCAGGTACATCAAGGGACGTACCTCCTATGACCAAGTCAACAATGCCATTGATGAAATCCATAAAGTCATCACAGCAAAATACAAGATACTACGTCTTCCTCGCTCAGCAATGGGGGAGCCAGTTATGAAAAAATACAAGGTAGATCAGAGCCGTATGTTGTTCAGCAGAGTCCATTGGCCATGGCCAACTAACTTCTAACTTTGGAACACCTGTAGTACATTGCTTTTACGGTTTCAAAGATTTATAAAAACCTGAAAACCCTAGACATTTGAGCTTTCAAGAACCATTTGTTTGCTTTGCTCATTATGAAGTGAAAACATGATAAACTGAACTTACTTGGTTTTCTTTCAGTCTTATTATTATGTAGCTGCAGTCTTTTGAAATTCGTTGGTGGTTTAACACTTAATATATTTTGAAAACTGCAGCCACACTGGTCATCTGTTGAGAAGGATATACCATACTTGCTTTCTGAATTAATTTGAAAGGACTGTTTTAATTACAAATATGATATCTTAAAGTCTCAGCAGTCATGCTTGGTTCCCAAGTTGCACATCTTGGGTATTTCCTGTTTTCAGTAATGCAATTAGCACTTCTTTTATAAATTACTGACATGTATCTATTTATGTATTTAAGGCTTTTAAAGAGGCTGAGATACCAGACATAGAGGGTAAGAGACCTAGACTGGCCTTAAAATACACATGAACATGGACAGTGTGTGTCCTTAGTAGAAAAAAAGCTATTGCCTGTATGTATGTGTGATGACTGACACATATCCAATTATGATTATTGCCATGTGCTGGTGTTATTGCTTGATCATGGTGAAAACTTGTTTTCATGTGAGTGAATCCTTTTGAAAGGAAGCCTAATAAATTCTTACAAAACCTTACACTGTAGATTGAGGTACATGTAGTCAATGAGAATAACTTCCAACTGAGTCTCAAAAGTAATTCAGAAACCCGAGACTCTTTAATTTTTCTCCCCTTTCCCATTCCATCATGACCCCAAATTTCAGCTGCATTGGTTTTGTTCTTCAACAGGAGAGTATTTTTTCATCGATGATGATCTAAAGACATACTCACAAATGAAGATGGACTCCACTGGAAGGGCAATTCTTACCATGTTAAGACATTGTGGCCGGCTCAGGGAAGTACGAGGAAAAAAACTGCTCAGATATGTTCTTAAACTGTGAATGCTCACACTGAGCAATTGAAACATTTTACTCCATGACATGATTAGTTATGGCATTGTATAAGGCAAAGAGGTGTCTATATTTTCAGTCCAACTGTAACTTTACTTTTATTCCCTTTACAGTGCATATCTTGATCATATCTAATAGACCTTTTTAAATTACTCTTTACTTTCCTATTGGCTTTGTTCTCTAGCACTTACATATAGAACTTAATTCTCTGTAAAAGTATGAAATAAATACAAAGATACAAGTAGTTCTCTAGATAATGAAGTCGTCTTTACTAGTTGTAAAAGTGAGTGCACTGAAACTATTCTTTACAAAATATTGAAAAAAATTTGTCAAATAAGACGAATTTTTGTGATATCCAACCAAGAAGAGTTTAAAATCTACTGTAAGTTGAAGTCTTAAAAGTTGATGACAAAAAAGAAAAAAAAACTGGGTTGAATCTAGTAATTTTAGAACCTGATAATTAGAATGTTTATCTGCTTTGTTTTAATTTGTTCATAAACTTCACAAAACCAGATGTGCATCAGTTGCATCTACATGTAAAGAGTGGAGACTTCACATGATTGATTTAACTCTCAAGTCGCCCGCAAAATCGACTTTTTCCTAAATTAGTGTCTTTTATTTCTTTGACTTCTCTTAATTACAAGTAGTTTAAAAATTCTATCTATCATTATCTATTGTCGATTTCATTGGAAAAAGCCAAGGTCAGGTTTTTTTCATTTTTTTGTTCACTATTGTTTGTTCCTGTCGTAGTCTGAGTATTGTTCTTCGTCTTATTTAGCTCCGTGATCCATATGAAGCTAAATCGTTGTCGTTATCTTTTGCTAGATTATTGTCCCTTAGTTTGGATTTCTTTGAATCCTGTTTCGGTGAAGTTATAGGTTCTTAGTGATGTATTTGTCATAAATTATAATACTAACTTAAAACTAGTGGTTTACCAACTTGTCATTTTCGTATTTTGTTATGTCATGTTAATAACATCGTTGTGGACTGGGACTCAACTTCTCTGTTAAGATTCTTCTGGGTTACCTGTTCATTTTTTGTCGTAGGTCCTATGCATACATTTTGGTAATACTATATGTTTTATATTACCTGGTATTATGAGCATTATTTTCCTTACTTTTCTTACTTTGAGAACAAAAGTTTGAAATAAAAGTAGTAACGAATCAGTTGTTACATGTTACATGTTAATATGTTGGTAAATTACAGAAGGCGGTATAGTATGTTGTTTGAATCAAGCAGATTTTCGTTTTTCTTGGTTACACATTTATTAGCTGTCGTCGAAACTAACTTGAAGAAAACACGTCGTCTGAATGCGTTAAATAATACAGACAAGGATAACACCAGCTTACCGATTAATATTGAATTAATATTATTACAAAGAACACTATGCAAAGACAACAGTAGCAATTAAATAACTATCAAGTTAATGGGTTAGTTTTTTAAGTTGTAAATCTACCTTCTCGTCAAGCTTTCGTTCTCTATTTTTAAGAACCCTAATTTTTTTACTAACTCAACCTTTCTTGTTAGTTTTAAGAGGCACTGAATTTTTGTTATTGATTCCATGATAAAAATTTTAACCGGTGTGGCTCCTTTTAGTTCGTTTTTTAGTAGTATTAATATTGTTGCATCGTGAGCTAGTAGAAAACATGGTTGAAATTAGGAATCTTTAATGATGGCAAATAAAAAACATTATGATTTTTAAACAGTCTCTTTGACTTGTTATTAGATTCTTGTCTTGGTTAAATACATGGATTCAAAATTAATCGCGGCGTGGTAAGCAGTAGCTGCTTTTTAGTCGTTTTGAGTTAAGGCCGCCGATATTAACCGAATTAGTTTCTTGTTATTCCGTTATGCTGTTTAGTTAAAATGTGGTAGCTGACGTTTTGTTAGTTGTGATTTGTTTTCTAGATCGTAATGAAATGCAGATTAGCTCGTTAAAGTAATTAAACTCTTTAGCTGGCTTGGCCAGGGGTTCAAGTTCAGGGTTACACGCAGTTATAGCAGCTAATGCTCGCTGCTGTTATTTCGTATTTAACCTGTCTGTGTCTTTTTGTCTGTTTGTCTGTGCGTCTGTCTACTTTCTGATCATGACTGTTCCTCTGTCCGCCAAACTTCGGCGTATATTTCAGGGCTAGCATAACTTTTTGTGAGATCGGCTGATACTGTTTCAAGAAACAGTAAAGTGTGACGATCACAGAAGAATTAAACGTCCAAACTGCTTCTTGGCAAAGTACGTGAATCTGTGTCAGTTAATTTAAAAGGTTTATTCGCTCGTCTCGTTTTGTCTTACAGTGATTCGCGCCTGTGATTACTTTTTAACAGCTAACGATTAGTAAGCTATTGGTTAATTTGTTGTTCCTCTATTAGCTGTGGTATTGAAAAGTGATCAAGGATGGATATTGTTTGGAAATATGCGAGATAAAATTATGTTTTAAATTCCCTTGAGAGAAATTTGTTAGTAGTCTTCGTTATCGTTATCATTGTCGTCTATATCCTAATTATTGTGATAATTATTATAATTATTACTGTCATTATCGTTAGTATGCTTTGCATTGTTACTATTACATGTTTAAGTTTCTATAAATGGAACTGTCGATTCTTAGCTTTACTACAGAAATTAACGTGACGCGTTTTTTTCTTTAGTGCATCAGTTTTGAACTGGTAATGAATTAGTATTCCGTTTATGTAATTTTGTCTATTAATTGTCAGTGATTTTTGAAACGCTTTAGTTCTAGCAACGCTACACGAGTTATCATTTCGTTATAATAGAAGTTAAATTCACTTTTCAGTTATGGCTACATTATAGTTCCTTTTTTATTAACATTGTCTTGTGTTAACAAAGAGAAGGAGAGATACAAGCATTGTTGCTAAGTCTCACTGTCGTGTTAGTGTTAGAGGTTTTTCTATAGTGAGTTAGGAAGCGGGTTAGTTATGCTCCGAAGTTTTGTTTCTGAATGTAGCGAGTCATTACTTCATGATGTCATTATCGTCCGGCATTGGATAGTTTCGCTTCGTCTGTCGATCACCGTAAAATAGCGTTAGTTAACCAGTTATATAATTTAATTGAGAATTTTCCATTAGCCAAAGATGTTTCCTAGTCATTTAGTCACTTTTTTACGATAAAGTTCATAACGTCTAATTTCCTATAACTATCAAAAGGTTCATTGGATTATTAGAATCACAAAAACGCAGAAACCCACTTAGCCCGTTAGTTGACAAGTTATTCGATCTTTCTTTTTTACATGTAAGTTTTTTTGGTACAAATAATTTTAAAACAAGTGTCTAAGTCCTAAATCCCTTTAAACGCTGCAATGCGGTCGTTTGAAGTCGTAACTAAACATGAAGAGGTTTCCCCTTCAGACCTGCTGTTGACTTAGAAATTATCCCGTGTTCTTACTACACAGGGGTGTGAGCTTTTGCTTGTGGATCTTTTGGACTCTTGGGTGTGCTGGGAGCACTCTGAAACGTAACATACAATTCTTTAAAATGAGATTTCAAACTCAAACCATGAGAGTAGTAAATATGTTATATATCTGCAAAGCGACGCGTTTGCAACCTATACTGTTCTCTGACCAAGCGAATTCCTAATAAGCCACATATCAGTTCGACATCTTAATTAATTTCATTCACCTTGAAGTTTTGGAAAACGGTAATTGAATGAATATTATGATCGCTTCTTCGATCGTTATGCAAACGTGCATTTTGTACCTTCAGAGCCTCTCTCCGCTGGAATTCCATCTTGGCTATTTCATTTTCCACCCATTCTGGAATGTCAGGAATGGCGTAAGCAACCGCAAACTTGATCCCAAGAACAAGATGCTGCAATAAAATAAATTCAATTTCTATTTTTTTTTTAATTCAAGAAGTTCTACCATCATACTGTAAGGCCTTATGATTGGAGAAAAAAAATTGTTAGGCAGAGGGACATAGGGAGAGATGGGAAAGTTGCACGATGCAACAAAATGGTCTTAACTGACTACTAAAGAGTAGTGGAGGAGAGAGAACTATGAGAAGGAAGGAAATTAAAAGGCAGAGGGAGATATTGGGGAAAGAGCTCAAACTCTGAGCTGACCTCAAGCACAACGATGAGAATGATCCTGTCAGTGACTGTCATGTTGGGGAACATCCGCTGAACTGAGCCGCCCATGCCAAGTAAAGCCAGGTTGACCATTACTGCCACCACTCCCATGACTTCCATTGCATCCTATGAGAGAAAGACATCAGAGGAATTATGGGAAAAGCGTTTGATTTATGTAGGATCCTGTGAAAAAAATGCCCTGACTCATGATACTTTTCAGGATAAAGATCATTTTACTAATTTAACATTTTATTTGAACATTAAGAAGTAACAAAATGCTATAATGCAATGAAATCAATGTAAGGAAGCCTGATTCACGAGAGCGAAAAAGTTACCTGCCATGTGCCAATGTTTTCTACTCGCTCTCCGAACGGTCGACGAAGATTGGTACACAGTTTAAAAGCATCGCTCCTGATTTCTATGATGTTATTAAGAAGAGCGCACAAGGCAGCAAGAGGAAAAGCAGAAGAGAACAGAACCACATAGCCAAACTGTATGAACATCTCCAAGTAGTCCTCGAACGTGTCCTGAGGGAAGCAAAGTGCGAAAAATTTTAGACTTCTCAATAAATAACAAACTTGACTATCTAATCAGGAAGAGAAATCTATGAACAGATGTACAAAGTGGACATTCCTAGTGCGCAGAATTAGGAATGATTAAGTATTCTTCGAAGAGGAAGTACACGATAACCTGGTAACGAAAGTTAAAATGTATCCTGACCTCTTTTTACACTACATAATGCTTTTTAATGTTTGGACCCTAATTCCCGGACCATTACTTCAATGAATTCAAAGTAAATGTCACCACCAATATAAAGCGCCGCACGAAGAAAGTGTTCGTTTGAACTCTTGTTACCTCATATTCTGCCATGGTACTCTCGATTTCAGCCTGATTCATCAGTGGCGAGTCCAATTCCTTAGGTTTATCTGACTTCTTATCAGCTGCCCCCTTATCTTTTCCTTCCTTTTGTTCCAGTTCCTTTTTCGCCTTAGCTTCCTCCTTCTTTAGTTTCCACTCCTTCACCTTCTGTTTCACAAATGGAACCAAAGCTTCCTTGACGTTTCCAACCACTTGTTTAGTGATGAGCAGCGCTGCAAGTTGCTGGAATTGAAAAAAAGTAAATGTTTTCTCTACGTTTTCTAAGAACTAATATGAATCTCGGCACGACCCTTCGAGTATTTTAGAGCAAAAGAGCTTTCAACAGAGACATTCTAAATCATGTTGAAAAAAAAGATACTTTCTCTTGTGTTTAGTTAAATGCGTTTATATAGTTAGGATTAGATAATATTTGCTTACGGTTTTAAGCCTGTCCATGTCTCGGAGGTAGAAGGCGATGTAGAACAGTGCCAAGAAGGCGTTGAAGAACTGGAACTGCAAGAAAATAATGAGTGAAAAAAGGAAAATTTTAGCGTGAGATGTTGCATCTAATGACTTAGCTTTAGCTCAGCTTCAAAAAAGTTATTAAAAAAAAAACACTCACCGAGACAAGCTTAATAATCAAGTGGTTTTCATATGTCTCTTGTAGTCGATAGTTCTCTGTGAATAGAACATGAGCCTTATAATTAAGAAAAATTATTGTTAAAGTCTTTTTAACAGCATTCAGAGCTTTTTCGTATTTTCTTCCAATCTTAAAGTAAATCAGCCATTCACTCGGCATTAGATAAATTTCATTAGTGCCATCAGACACCATCGAATCAAATGTGGTGTTTTCTTTCGTTTCAGACGTGTAAACATTCTCACAAGGTTAAGTAGTGCGTAAAAGAGGTAAGTGATTTGCCTCCGTCACTGAAAATCGATACGATAAAGGCAAGTGGGACTTAGATCTTTCTTCGGTGAGTTGCGTTCCTCGTAATAAAGTTTTTTAAATTCCGTGCTCAGACTTTGGCAACGCTGTGGAATTATTAATCTTATATCCCTTTCCTACGTGATAAGAGTTACAGATCAAACCTATAGTCAGTAGTAACACGTTTAAGAGTCAGGAATGAGCTTATTGACAACATAATTGCCGAGATCTACCTTTAAAGATGCTAATATTTAGCGTTTCACGGAGAAAAAAGTAAACTAGAAACCAAAATTGATCGTGCAATTTACACCTCATGGTTGAAAACCCTATTTGATGTTCACACAGTCCTGTTAGTTAAACAAGTGTCCAATTTTTCAGTGAAATGAGTTAAAAAAGAGCAGTAGGCTCGTCCCAGATCTATGGTTTGCGTAACTTTGTAAAAGCGAATCACTGACTTTGATCTAGAAGGTCACTTGATAGGGATTTGACTGTAGCTGAAATCTTAACTCACCTTTATCGTTCAAATGATAAGCCACTTTCTTATAATTGTCGTCTAACATGCCAATACAGACCGCCAGGGCGATCTTTGGAGCAAACTTCAGTGGCTTAGGAGGATTCTCCATACCGTCCACCCACCTCTGAAACTCAAAACACAACAGCATGGTGACCAGTACCACGCCCAGAGACGTGAGAATGATTGGCAGTGATACGCAGTAGCGGAAGATGTTTCGTTTCCAAGAAGGATAGTGTGCTTCTATACGTCCAGTTATTTCACTTGGTTGGAAATCACCCTGTATGGAAGAAGCAAGACATGTACGTTGGAAATAAACAACCTCTTAGTAACGGCAAAAAGTGGAATATTGTATAGCAAAACGGAATGTCGTGTAACAAAACGATACGGAGAACTCGAACCTACGTCTCGCATGCTTTCAAATTCAATTAGGCAGTTAATTGACAGTCAATTTTCAATAGTCCTCCCTTTATGCTCTATTAGCGGCGACTGATTCCCCTCCGCTCCCCCTTGAAGCTATGTGATCCTCTACACCCCCACCACCCAGGGGATAAATTTTTGGCTGGTCTCTTAACTCGACTGTGGAGTAACTTGGACTGAAAGTAGGATCTGTGCTGAGATTCCAGTGTTTTTATTATGTCTAAGAGAAAGAGATCAATGTGGCATGTAACAAAAACCACACCCTAAAAAGGGGTCTTGGTTCCTTGAGAGCATCCGATGGCATGTCCATAGTTCCCCACTTGTACGCAAGTTCAGCACTCTTTCGTTTCCAGGCTTCTAGAAAGAGCGTAGCCCACACGATGTTGAAGATGTTGAAAAACAGGATGCACCAGTCTCGTGTAACTTCACCCCTGTTGGACAGGATAAAGGTTATAATACCAAGAACTGCGGGTGCTATCAACCACTTGGTGTACATTCCCAGCCAGGCGAAGTACATGGCGATTTTGACACCAAAATACTCGCAAATATCGTCTGAAAATGTAAGAAAAACACAGTTTCTGAGCACTTAACATCAAAAGAACCAATTTCATAACGCCGGGCTAAAGAAATAATAGCACGCCCTAAGCTTTAAACTTATATCACCAATTAACAAAGGATAGGAAACAATTCCAAGCCCTGATCTGTCTTACCGATTGGCTGGGCACCCAAGTGGGAGATCTCAAAAAAAAAGGTTAGAACAAATTGTTTTGAGTTTAATGAGTGTTCATTCTGAAAAATAAAGAAACTGTTGAATTTTACATTACTCACCCAGAGGTTGCTTCTTGAAGAAAGCAGAGACCCAGGATTTCCTAAGTTTGGCTAGATCATCTGAATTATGTAGAGGAAACATCTTCTCCACAACGCCCTCCGCCTGCAGCTTTGGTACTGAGTTTTAAAAAGTATTTTGAACGAACAGAGGTTTAGTGGGCACTGAACATCCATTAAATTAAACGAGAACAGACTGTATGAGGATATCTAAAAAAATTTCCCATTGTTCGACCACTGAATAATCCGACTGGTAGAGATGATCAAAATGAAATTGAAATTGAGTTGGAAAATTGCTCTATAAGATGTTAGATAAATGCCTTTGATCATTTTTTACCTGGCTCTTCATTTTTTTAAGAATACAAATTTTCATACCGATCTGCTGCCCCTCCACAAGCTTAATCTTTCCCAGCTCGTCTCCCTCCACGGCTCTTAGGTCGTTTACCATTTCCAAGATCATGCTCTGCCTCTCTCCAGATTTAAAGAACACCGTGGGATCATCTGAATTTTCAAAACTATCTCGTTCGTCGTACTTAAAATCCGTGATTCCACCTGAGCGTAACTTTTTCTTTAGTCCCAGTTCCTCGGCTTTTTGAAGGAAGACTTCAAAAGAGGAAGTTAGATAGAAACCGTAGACTGGTGAGTGTGCCATTTGACGGACATGGACGTCGACATCTGGTACTCTGGCTCGCAGTCTCGATAGCAGCCACATTACCGTGTAGTCCTCTGTCCCTTTGGGAAATGTGATGAGTACATCGCATGTTTTGGATGGAGTGGAGTGCTCCCACAGCTTAGAGGACAAGACGAACTTTCCGGCTTTTTGAAAACTTCCTATGCAAGTAAAAAATTTGTTTCATTAAAATTGGGATCAGATTCTGCTACAGGAACGAAGAATACACCAGAATTTGCCTTTTTCTCAAAATGTGGCTTCGAACTCAATTAAAGGTGGCCCGGCCTAAATTTATTAGGGCTTCTTTTCTGCAACTCAAAATCGCTTGAAGAAACAAGAACCGATGAACACATTCTTGCCTACCCTTCCTACTTTGGCTTTTGGCATACCAGTCTCAAAACTCTTTAGATCTTTTTTCTTCTGTTTAGGGGACAATAAAAAAAAAACTCTTGAGTGACCCCTGCTTTGCCAAAGAACGTGTTTTACTCAGTGTAATCAACATTTTGTTTCTCGAACTGATGTGCGTTTTGTTAGCGATAAAAAAGAAAAGGGATTTATAGTACCTTCTTCGCCTTTACCACCACTAAATACATCTTTAGCAGCTGACTTTGCTGCAAAACGAACACAAACAAACGATTAGTATATTAGTGAGCTCATATGAAAATGATGAGAAACGCGAATCTTCAAGGAACAATAGTGAAGAATAAGGGTGTAAGACATGATAGAGACAGCGTCCGATTGGTCTCTGATTCAAAAATTATGCTAAGAAGTTTTTTTTAGCAAATGCATTCGACGCGAAAACATCTTGCAAGGAGTAATAAAATATTGTTATTGTTATAAGTAAGTAACCCCTCAAATACTCCTTGTATAAACCACGCCCTTTGTTTTGTCCTTGACACGTAAAAAAGTTACGTAAAAAGTTACTTGTTTCATTCAAGGAATTCTGACGTTTTGCTTTTTTTGATTTTGATGAAAGTTACAATCATGCATGCAGTAAACTGTGACTGTGATTGTTTTGAAATTTCAAATAAAACAACTTTTGTATGATATAAATTCAAACCCAATTATCTTGCTGGCATGGAGTTGTTATTATAAGCTCTGCATAATTTAGGTTCGTTGGCCAGCAACACTGGCTCTGTAATAATAAATGACTTCTAAGATTCTGTGCTAAAATCAAGGGGGCAAATATTTACTGAATTATGAAATCATTGTTTTATTTGGTCTTTTTGAGAGAAACAGAACTTTAACGCATGTTTAATGTTTTTTTCCCTTCACGCTTGTAATAAAGAAGAGTTTGGTTGCTAAAGAACAATACTAAGTAATATGCATAGAGAACTGCAATTTTTCCGCATAATGTCTGAACAGCTCTACAGGAATTGTCTCGAAAATCCTTACGGCAAAATTCGTTTCATTTCTTGACGAAAAAAAAAAAGGCGCCTACATAGAAATAAATAAGGACTTTTTGGTTTCCATATTCTAGCAGCTACTAAGCTGTGAAAAAAGATATCTTGTGAGGAAACGCTTTCGTGGTATGTGCTAGAAAAATGCATAGCTTAATTACTAGCCCATTGAATGCATCATTGAATATGGTATTACCTTCCTTGCCGCTTGTTCTCCTGTCTGGTATAGGCATTGCCGAGATTTCAATTAGTTGGAAACGCTAGAGCGCGCTTCTCCCAAATTTTTGCCTCGAATGTGAAACTGAACGACAAACCTTTCTTGTAACTGTTTTATTTACATCTTCGAGAAGACGCTCTTATTCGCGCGTTATGATTGGCTGGTCGCCTGTCAATCATTGGCCCAATCATTAGATGCAGCAGGTTTCTTGCCCAAAATGACGGGTGGCTGTTTGGAGGGGACTTATACCTGTATTACTAAGTGGTTGTCAAATATCATTGAGCCGAGTGGACATTTCAAGCAGTTTTTGGATAATTTATTTCATCAAAGCGATAATATTCGTAGGTCTATCACATAAAATGTTTGAATTTTTTTTATTATTTTTTCGTCTTCTTTTCATGGATAAATTGTGGTACAAGTGTAGCCGTTAGCAGGTTATAGTTTGATGCTTCTTTCAACAAGGTGTTTCATCTACATCTCAAGGAAAGGAACCAAATAAAGTTTTATTTTCTTAAAATAATTTTTTGCATTTATCCTGAGTTTGCTCGAAATAGATTGGGAATTCATGCATGGTCTTTTCTCCAGAATTCGTGCCCCCCTAAATTGAATCAAAGTGTAGATCTTGAACTCATATTGCATAAGATATCTCCCGGCTAAGTTACATGTATGACATTGTAATGTTCCCTCAGATCGATTCATTTCAAAAGAGTAATCATGCAGTACCAGACCACTTGTAGACCTCTGGCAGGCTCGCTTTGTTTAAGGCTACATACTTTCCCGCGGACGAAGAAACACTCGGATCGAAGCCGTAACGACGAGAGCCTGCTCGCAGCCTAATCTTGATTTTCTCCAAAAAGCCTTTCAACGAGAATACTTTTATGTGAGACGAATCACTGAAGTGAAAGGGAGGTCCTCGTAAATCCACTTTGCGATGCGATTTAAATAATTCAGTTACGTGAAAAACTTCAACAAATTTTATACCCACTAAGGGGCCAAGTTCCGGCAGGACTATTCTGACATAGCCGCAGTAAGAAATCATCTCGGAAAAAAATGATGACAGATCCGAGAGATATTCAGTGCAAGTTACCGACAGCGAATGTTTCTCGTGGCTAAAAATTCAAAGAAGATTTTTCAACAGGCAGAAGTCTCGCAGCCATTTTACGTCAAGAAAATTACAGCATAAAAAGGAAGCCAAGAACAATGAAAAAAATGGCTAGGTAAAGAAATCAGAATGAAATCCTCTCACTGCCGCAATTTGAGTGGAAGCACGAAAAGTAAAGTAGATGGTACTTTCTTGAGTTTTGTTTTACATCAGCCAACGTAAAAATAGTTGGGCTAAGTTTTGACGAGCAAAAGGTGTCAGTCGTTGTTTGTCAGCTAAGGTAGCACGAGGAACTGTAAATTGATTAATTCATGCGAAATTTTAGTATGGAAACCACACCAGAAGGAACAATTTCACATATCAATTCTACCTGTCAATAGATTATGCAGATCTCCACCTGATTCAATTTGAAAAACGGTCATTAGGAACCAATTAGAGGATATTTTAAAATTCACGTAGCTGAGCTCAAATTTACGCTCAATCAGTTTTGATTTAATGTACGTGCTGTCAATTAAATTGTTCCAGATAAAGAACAAAGTAGAGTCTAAGTTTTCATCAAGATTTAACGGGGAAAAATGATCAGTCTTTTGCCTCTCTTAAAAAAGTTGGAACTGCTGTCAATTTGAAGTATTTGCGAGCAAAAACCAGAAGTTTGAACAATCAAGAATAAATCAAACAAGCAGAATATTTAAATCGTTATGCAAATTCTGTGACCATAAACCGATAGTTAATGTTGTTATTCGAGATCGCAAGCACAAAACAAGTTTGCTCTTTACTGTATTGGTTATGATAATTTTCGAGCCATCGTCGCTTTCTACTCGATCGTGATGACTTTCGGGGCACTCGCTGACAAATGATAGAGCGTGGGTATCAAAATGTGAAATTTTACAAAGTCGCTTACCCCAGTTCCACGCTTTCCTCGGTTTCCCCTTGCTGGAATCCCACACGATCTTTATGATGCTCATTGGTATTAATCTTCTCGTGGTAGATTACACCATAGTCCATCGGAGGGTGGTGTGGAATCATAGGTGATCCTCTCATTGCGATCACAAACCAATGGTGTGACAACGATGTTTAAATTCATTACAAAATAGTCTCTAGGGCGATGTATATCATAGTAAAATATGCTACAGCATGATTGTCGTCATGTTTACAGTTTCCAATCGTTTGGTGAGCTCAGAAATTTATCTAAAAGCGAGTTAGCCCCTGGTAATTTTGAATTTGAAGGCATTTCGCCTAGCTTGAATACTATTTGTGGTAAAGATTTGAAGTATAATCACTTCCATTTTCATGACGTAACCGGAAGTTCGTTAAGTGTTTGTAAATTTATAGACGAGAACCATTGTTGACAAGACCCACCGAACGTCCCAAACTGGGAAGCTTAAATTAAAGAGGGAGTCCAGAAAACGAGAAAGGGGGCATCATGTGAATTCATGGCCCCAAAAGAGGGAAGCTGGTGAGTAAATCCCCATCCCAAAACTACAGGGGTTGGTATCTAATTTTCTTGTGTGCAAGCTGACCGAATAATTGAAAACCACTTGTGTCTCTCTAACAATAATAAACCATTCTCCCCACGTGCTAATTTATTTCATATGAATATAACATAATTTATTCGACATCGATGATCTAGTCAGAACCAAAGCAGTTCACCCTTTAAGTCACACACATGCCTAACAGGGGTGGATCTAGGATCTTAAGAAGGACTGTTACGTTATGCATCGCGTGTACTGCAGTTTCTTCTCGGGAGGATGGAAGATTGACATCAGATCTAAGAAAATGGCGGAATATAGCTTTCTTACACCTTTTGGGAAATAATTAATTTTATCTTGAAAATGAATATCGGGGAAAAAAGCGCTCTAAAACCAGTTGTGTCTTCATCTAAAAAAAAAAAAAAAAAAAAAAAAAAGGGCGATAAGAAGCTCGACACCCTTCAACAGGCCTTTACCTGTGGCCACCTCGTGATCATCAGTTGAACGTTTATTGACAGTAATTTTAATCGTGTGAGGTAAAACTGAGATTTGTACATTGCCAAAAAAATTTGCTGGTGGAGTAACATTAAACCGTTTATTTTTCGCTTTGTGAAGTGGAGAATAATTTCGTGTGCTGATTAAATAAACCTATGGGTCTAATTTCTCGGAGAAAAACGTCAACTGTCGTGGTTTTATTTTCGAATAAATTCAACCGATTTTTTCCTAGAATGTCTTGCAAGAGTTTTCCGAAGTTTTGATTAACTGGTGATAAACAAAAGCTAAACACTTCGTCTGATTTTGTCAATCTGTTGTATGATTACAGACCGACCGAATTATTCTATATGCCTATATATATATACCGGACTTCAAGAATACTCTCGTACCCCTCGATATTGTTAGCTCACAGTATTCTCAGTAAGCGAACGAAAACAACCCTCCATGAATTATTCTCGTGTAAAGCAAAACTGACCAACGACAAAAGAGCCAGTCCGTAAGATGTATTCTGTGTTATGCTGACCAACACAACCATGTCCAGTCATGTTTAATACAAACGCTTAAAATAATATTTCTTTTCGCATGATTTCATTTTGTAGAAATATCCAACACTCCGGTGGCCTGGGACTGAGCGCCTGCTCGAACATTGCAGTAGTTAGGAGAGCTTATTCGTAATTTTAACGTTGGGAAAGTATGTATCTCAGGAAAGCAGGACTTCTTTTTCTTTCCTTGGCATGCTGCTTTTTTTCCTTTGTAGCTACAGTTCGATTTTCACCACCTAAATATTCAGCGTGCCACAGCAAAGACTTTGGTCATGGGGGTACTGTCTGTGTGTGTTCTGATGAGCATGGCTGCGATGCCTTCAGCGAGGGAAGTCCTTTGTCAGAGCAAGAGTATGCCGTTTACACCAGCTCAAAGACAGGCGATCGTTTCAATTTAAGGACGGGGAAGGTTAAAAAACCAGGTTTCTCTAGAAAACTACAACACTCTGCTGAAGTCGAGGTCAAGTTTGTCGTTAATCAGGATGAAGTTTTTCAAACTATACTAGGAATAGGGGGAGCTTTTACAGGTTTAGTATTGTTATCCTTTGTCGAGTTGTTATCTCCCTATTCTAGAGGATCATTTTTGAAAGCTTAAGATGTAACTAAAATCGACAACTTTTACCTCGGGGTATTTACAACTAATATTGCCGAAAACAAATGGTCTCAAATTTTTTAATTGAGCTACACAAAGTTTCTTTGGTTGATTCAACTAATTTCCTTGATACACCAAATGTATAGCTATGGCAGAGAACAGAGATCAATATTCCTACAAGTGAGGTTATTGCTAATATTTTTAGGCAGATTGAATGAAGAAAAAAATCTTGCATGTCTTTCCATCAAGCTTGTAAGCCAGAAGCAATGGTCTTGGTAGAGACATTTTGGCCCATTCAATGGTTTTATGATCCTCTCAACCCTTTCACTGCCAGACTTGAAGTGATGAAGAATTAATTTCTCCTTACCAATCTCAATACATTTCCAAGGGTACAGGTAATGAGAATGTAGGTTGGAGGGAGGGGGGGGGAGTGATGAGGGTGTTCCTGTAGTACTTTTATTCTCCTTTTTATTACGAAAATGTGATCATCCTATTCATTGAACAATGTGGCATACCTTAAATACCAATAAAACACCAATTAAATATTGTTGAAGGAACCTTCCCCCTCTCCCCAACCCCCATCAACCAGTAAATCTTGCTTAAGTCCCAAGTTCATTTTTTCTTCAGATGCTGCTGGAATCAACATATTAAACATCAGCTCCACCTTGCAGCAGAAGCTGTTATCTTCATACTTTTCTCCAGATGGCATTGAGTATTCCCTTGGGCGTATTCCTATGGCCAGCTGCGATTTTTCTACCTGGCCTTACTCTTACGACGACCATGAAGGAGATTTTGGAATGTCAAACTTTAGCTTGGTCATGGAAGACTTCAAGCTGAAGATTCCTTTGTTGTTATCTGCATCAAATATGAGTAAAAGGACCCTCAAGTTCTTTGGAAGTCCTTGGGCTGCGCCTGCATGGATGAAAACCAATGGCAAGATGCAAGGGGCTGGAACATTAAAGGGAGTGGCAGGAGACAAATATCATAAGGCATGGGCTTTGTACTTTGCAAAGTTCATCAAGGAGTATGAAGAAAATGGGGTGAAAATCTGGGGAGTTACTGTACAGAATGAACCTAGCACTGGATTCATCCCATGGTGAGACATATTTGTGGTTCCACAGGCTGTAAAACTGGTTTTTTGCATCATTCTGTAAGATAAATTCTAGATGCTCAGGAATTAGACTGTTTCAACCTGAATTTGGCATCAAGTAAAAACACAAATCCTAGATTTATTGTTAACTGTCCATAATGGTCAAAGACAAATTGTTTTTCATTGGGTCCCAAGAAAAATGATCAATGGAAAGCAAAATTTGGGACGGTAGGAAGTAGGGTAAATCGTCCTCCTGACATATGAAAACCATCCTTTCAGTAATTTCTTTAAGCTCGGATTTGCACTTTCCTTTTATGTTCTTTAACAACAGCTTTCAGGTCCTACAGCACTTACAGTCAATTGATGTCTTTCAATAAGGATAATTTTAGCCACAGTAATCTTCACCAGTTGATGTTTCAGACTGGGAGTGGTTTGTCAGGAAGAAAACTCCGATGAGGGTATCTTAAATTATCTATGTAGGTTTCTCAATGTTACCATAGTCTCAAATTATATTTTACTATTGAACAGTTTGTTCACATAGAGAGGTTGTTTTAAAATGGAATTTGATTAATTGCCTCAGCTCTCCAAGAAAATGTTTAGAAAATTTGTGTGCTATTTCACTGGTCAACTTTTACTTGAAGGTATGCCTTTCAAACAATGGGTTACACAAAGGAGATGGAGAGAGATTTCATCAAAGAGGACCTAGGTCCAACCTTGGAGAAGTTTGGCTACTCTGATGTGAAACTAATGATGGTTGACGATAACCGGATGTATGTTGAGCCATGGGCAGATACCATCCTTGGAGATAAGGAAACAGTTGAATATGTTTCTGGCATTGCAGTTCATTGGTATAATGAGAATGATACCTCACCTGATGTATTATCTGCAACACACAAAAAGTATGTCAGCATAAATTTTGCTCGACATTATTTTATTATTTTACTCTTATTTTCATCAGCAGTTAATAGCTAATTCCTCTACCTCATTATAGTGAACAACACAGTCAGTTAGAAATAAGTACAATTATTATCTTACTCGTTAATGTGCTCACCTCACTGAACATCTTTTTACTGGATAGTATCCAGACCTGAATATTGTGTTTAATTTTAAACTTAGCTGATACTGTGCATGTGCTACTACTAAACACAGGTGGGTGTTTTCAATCACTAAGCATGGATTAAAGAAGATATGCAGCTAAATTTAGTTGAAACAAGGATGACAAGAATTGTAAGGTACATTTAGTAGGGTAAAGTATCACATATAATGTCACTTTATTATAAAGTAAAGTGGAGGTTTGAAAGAGAATACACAATGCAAACTTAAATAACTATATATCATTTACTATTGTGATTGTCTACTCAAAGTAGCTGAATTGGTTTCACTGTATAGATTTCCCAACCACTTTATTCTAAACACGGAAGCGTGTACTGGCTGGACAGGACCCCCTAGTGAGAGAGGAGTTCACCTTGGTCAGTGGTCTAGAGGAAGTGATTATGCACATAGCATCATTGAGGTGATTTCATATTTTATACAGTTACTGTTATATTCAGAGCAAAGAAATGTTAAAATAATCAAAATAATAATTAGAAGAAAAGAAACATGAGGAAAATAAGATTAGCCTCTCAAAGTGCAGAGTGCTCCCTTTCTTTTTATCTCAAACTCTATGGAAATTAAGCCTTGTAAGTTCCCAACTGAAAGATGCTCTCATAACCTTATAGTTTAGATCTTTTAACTACATTGAAAGGACACTTCTATTAGAGATACACCTCTGCAATTGTTTTTTGTGCCTGAAAAATACTCCTTTAGCCTTTGTATCTGTAGTCTTTACCAATGGGAGCTCTGTTTAAAAGATGCTTCTCCTATACCTGGGAGTTCCCCCTGGGATTGTATTCTGAATAGAGATTCTTCTTTATTTCAAACCAAACTAGGCTTCCTAACATCATCATCTTTCAAAACAGACAGTTACTGACACTCTGTTGCTGCCATCATATTTTCAGTGGATGACATGACATTAGTTCTTTTTTTAATCTTCAGAATTTATCCCACTGGTCAAGTGGATGGGTGGATTGGAACATAGCTCTTAATTTGCAAGGAGGACCTAACTGGGTGAAGAACTTTGTTGATTCCCCAATTATTGTAGATGCAGAAAATAAAGCCTTCTACAAACAGGTATAATCCACTTAACATGACAGTCTCAGCTCTTCATCTACCTCCACTTCTGTTTCAGCAAAGTTGTAAAGTTGTCATAGAATCAATGTTAATTGAGCCTTTGAAAGAAGAGGCAACCAGGGGTATCTGAATGCCTCTCCTTTTATTTTTAACTTTTTTTTATTCTTCTTTAATGATTAGTGTTCCTTGATTTTACTTGATTTAGCTAATCCTTTAACTCCCAAGATGAGATTTTTAATTCTCCCTAGTTACAATAATTTGGTGTTAGATCAAGATGACAACTTATACCAGACAAGATTGCGTATTCTCGTCTCTTGTTTGCTTGATAATGTATGGATATTTTTGGGAGAAGTTTCATTTTAATCACAGCAAGACTTAAAGAGTTATAATCTAAACATCTATATTGGCCCTAATTATGTAACAAATTTACTGTATAAAACTCACATCAACTACAGGATATTTTTTTTTAGCATTGTCAGGTACTCTGAGATTCCAATCAGTTTATGACATAATTTTGTCCAATCTTTTGCAGCCAATGTTTTATCATCTTGGCCACTTCAGCAAATTCGTTCCACCAGGTTCTCACAGAATTGAAGTAAACAGCTCTGAAGAAACTTCCTTGGAGTTTATTGGCTTTGTCACACCAGAGGGCAACACTGTTATGGTGATACAAAACACTGAAGGAAGAAATGTTACCTTTGACATCACTGATAAAAAGGGAGCAATCATCAGTGAAATTATTCCATCTTTTGCAATTCAGACTTATATTTGGTAAATCTTTGGCACCATAATAACATCAGTATGCATATTCTCCATACTGTTCTCTATATATTTCCTTGGGTGCTGACAAGGAGAATTTGTTTGACAACCAAGAGCTTATTTAGTTAGTGATAATTTCCCTTATACCTTTATGTTTGATTCAGGGATGATATTTTAAAGAGATATTAGATGTTTGTCTCTTTCAAGGGTCAAGGGTCAAAGAGTTAAGGTCGCTAAACTTAACTATTCAGGCCCATGATGTAGCTAGTTCCTGAAAATAATTGGTGAGAGAGAATATAAATCTCTTCATGTAGATTAGCCAAAACCTACCAGCAGGACAAGAAATGTCCCACAGATTCAAATGTGTTTTAATTCATGGGAAGTTTTGGATACTTGACCTTTTTAATGAACTTTAAGAAAGGGTTGGTCCCTGGAGCTGTGGAGTTTAGAACCTGATCCCCATTTTCTGAGCCTAAGAATACTGGAAAAAATCATCTGCATTATTTCCACCGCTGATATGAGGAAGGCATCAGATAGGTTTTTCCGGGGTAGATAAAATGTATGTGTGAAGAGTTACTTGGTAAGTAAGTAACAATGAATAATAATTATTATAATAATAACAGGAATAAAAAAATCTCAAGATGAAAAAATCACAAAAAAAGATAAGCGGCATTGGACCCATAAATAACTTTTTTTATAATATTGAACGATATTGAAAGGGAAGTTTCTATAATAATTTTCCCGATGATTAGGTTATTGAAATAAAGTTGAAAACTTTTAGTTTGAACATATTTTTTTTATGTTTTTGTTATTAACTTACTTGCTATTTTGCCAATGACGGTTGGTTGAGACTTTCTTTAAATCTATTATTGAACGTAATCTGATCGATTCTCAGTGGCAGTACTAGTGACTATCGTTTCAACTTGAGCAGAAATCATGAGAGTCGAGTGCCGATTGCTTTTGGTCTAGTCCTCGAAAGCTGATTGGTCCATTTCACTAGGACGCAAAAACGCAAGAAGCGTAAAGCGGTTGTGATTATTCAGTTTCGATCAGCGCTATAGTCTGTTCTTTCCTTAATTAAAATGACGTTAGTAAATCGTTTGTAAGGTGCTGGTAGCTGCATGTTGATATCTGCTGAGAGTACAATGTAAACCTGCTTTTTACAGACAATCGTTTAAAGTACCGTATATAATAGATCAAAATATTATCAATTTAAGTCGCACCCAGTAAAATATAATTTTATCAAGTTTGGTACAACTCGGTTATCTAAACCAACCTTAGAAATGTATATCAAAAAGAGAAAAAAAGAGATTGGATCTTTAAAGAAGATCTGTGCCTCATTATACTCACAAATTTAAATTTATCAACTGTTGTGACCTCTTTTGTCGGGGATTTTGAGCTAGCTGTTTTTTTGAAGTCCCCTAACTTTACAAGCACGTGAAGCTGTTCTGTTTTCGTTCAAGATGGGGTGTTCAAGAGTATTAAAAATCACAGAATAAAACTATCATCTTAAGAAACAAAATGGACTGGTTAGGGTGCCAGAACCTGTTAAATATGACTAAGGAGACTAATTAAGAGCCCGTCACGTTACCGGGAATTTTGAGAAATTTACCCGAGCATCCCCTCCCCTCTGTACTATTTTCTACTTCCAGGCGAGGCTCTGCCATGGAGCCTGATCAATAGTTGATGGCATTCTCTTGACTTTTGTGCTTGTTGATGAATATATTTTTTACTTTTTTTGCGATTTGTTCGTATCAAGAACCCGTGATCAAAGGTTAAAAGGAACTTGAAATATCTTTAACCTGAGATGGACATTACGAAAGAAGTGGAAAGCGCATTGGAAGAAGAAGGTTACGTTAAAATCGACTCGACTTCCTCGAGCACCATGTCCACCTCTACTTCTCCTGTTTCCATTGGGGATAAAAAATCGAGTTCACGTGGCGTCACTTCGGTTCATTCGCACTCGGTGACCCAAATAACGAGCCCCGTTCAGCAGAAGATTCGCACGGACGTTTCAGCAAGTGATCTCTTGGAAAATAAGAGTGGTAAATCATCTCCAAATTCATCATCGACGTGGCAAGGCCAGGGGCAAACTTCTGACCAGGATGGCGATGGGAATGATGACTTAACTAGCGGGGTTTGGGGCTGGATGTCCACTGCAATGTCGGTTGGATTACAAACAACGCAAAACATTGGTAGAAATATTATGGAGAAAACCAAGGTATTGTTAAAATATGTAGAATGAAAACAATTCACTTATCATACGTTTTGCAACGTTGTTAAATTCCAAATCGATCAAAATCATTTCAAAATGAAGCCTCGTTAGGTTCAACAGTGTGTGAAAGTAATGATCTATAGAATAAAATCTGACAAATTTTGATGTTTGTTAATTTAAGATTTTGCACTAAAGCATACATCGGTTTAAACCCAGTACAATTATGTGAGTCTGTTGTTATATCAATATCGTTGGGCTGATGTTGGCTGTCAAAGCACTAGTGTGTTATTCTTGCATGCTCTTTGATTAAGTGTCATTTGAACTAAAACAAAGTCATCGCAGTGGCCTGAATCAGTGGAAACAAATTATTCAATAGAACAGATGAAAAGTCAAATTTAAAACCAGCTTTAAGCAGACTATCATAAGGGCAGAATTCATATTAATAATTTTTAGAATCAGTTATAAATCTTAAAAGCATTTTGAAAATTGTCATAACTTGTCTGTATTTTTCTTCAGACTTCAGTTGAAAGTGTGATCACAACACTTGACCCAGAAATGGAGGACTACTTATGTGAGTAACTTGATTTGAATTTTTAGGGAGGTTCTTTTAATTGTTGATTTAAAGCACCAAAGACTGAACCTCTGCACCATTTATAAGAGCTGTGTTGTAAACATCAGTCACATTCATGTATCAGAAATATCTTATTTTAAATTCAGTATGAAACCAATAATTTGCAGTATGTGAACATACACTTTGACTTATAGCACTGTAAAGGAAAGAAGCATGAGTAATGCTACCTAATAAATTCTTTCATATAACCCTTCACACCCTTACTTCACTGTGTATATTCTCCAAACTGTTCTCTATGATGCTTACCAGGAGAATTTGTTTTAAATTTAACAATCAAGAGCTTATTTCATTAGTGATCATATCTTTTATTCTGGTAACCTTTATTTTTGATATCAGAGGTGATATTGTGAGGAGAAATTACGTGCTAGCCATTCTTAGGGGTGACAAGGTTATTTCATTGTGAAAATTTACAGTGCGTGAAAATACATGTACACCTCTGCATGTAGCAGTGTAAAGAAAACAAGTATCAGCCACATTTCTTGATTCATTTGCATAACCCTTTACACCTTAACATCAGTTTGTATTTTCTGCCAACTGTTCTCTATACATTTCCTGAGGTGCCGATAATGAGAATTTGTGTAATAGTCAAGAGATTTTTATGTTGGTGATCATTTCCTTTATTCTCATGACCTCAATGTTTGATACAGGGTTAATTCTTTTATTGCAAGGAAAAATTAGTCCTAGATCCTAGTCACTGTCGGGGGTCATGGGGCCAACTGATGTATAGCTAGTGTCAATCTATGTATATTTATGTATTTTTTTCACTTTTGCTAGCAGACAGGAGAGAACAGTCTATAAGCCTGGCTGTTGCAACCACTGATACTGAAGCCATAGAAGCAATAAAGGATGGGTTCCGTCAAGTGTTTGAACATGTTACCATGCAGTCAAATTCCTCGACATCTGGGATTGCTCCCCTTCCTGTAGGATTTTCAGCTGGGGTGAAGGGAGCACAGCATAGAATAGCCAGTTTAGTGCGTGGAAAGAAAGTGCAGGAAGGTCAAGTGATCATTGGAGTGGAAGAAATGTTGTCAGAGCTGTTACCTGGCAAGTAGGTTACTGCTCCCTTTGATGTATCTTTACAGTCATAGTGATTGTTCTCAGCTAGAGAATGATTTATGATATCTGTGACATGAAGTACCCTCTCTTTTAACAGCAACAAAAACTTCTTTATTTGTACCCAGTTCAAACAAAAAAAGGGAGTTGACTTTAAAGTGGAGTTGAAGAAAAGCGATATAATGGCTTCTTAAAATAACTCCATTTTAATAGTTAAGAAAAAACTTGGATTCAAGTCAAATAGCTTTTTTGTCCAGACTTATTTATTGAGTTGACATTTTTCTTTCCTAGGTGGTTTGGTTTAACATGTCTTGCACTGAGTGACCCAACTTCAAAGACAGAGCTTGAAACATTCTCTCAATCAGTCCAAATTCCAAGTTTTTATATCAAGAAAGCAGAGGAAAGCACACCATCCAATTACAACCTAAGATGGTCAGGGCTATCATTTACTCTTGGGGAGGTTATGCTTGGCTCTGGGCAAGAGTATGGCGATTGGCATTCTAAAATATCAGGTACAGCTGATTTTAAACATACTGCATTCCTTGAGTTAGAATGAACTTTATTTTGAATCATTTTTTAAAACTTTTAGTCAAAATTTTAAAATTTTGTTGGCTGATAAGTTTGCATTGGAGGCTTGTTTGACTCACAATTTTCAGGCAGAACTGTTCAGCTCCCCCACCCAAATCCAACCATTATACTTTTTTGTTCACTTTTAAAAAGTGGTGTTATCTTAACTCTCAAATCCCCAAGAGTGATGAGCATCAAATCTCTCCGTACAGTATCACTCCTGAATCAAACATTAAGGATTAAGGAACAAAATTATAAATGGGTGACTAATGTTACATAACAATGTGATTTTACCAAATACAAGTGACTGTTTGTGACAGTTTGTGACAACTCGCCACTTATATTTGTTACAGCTGTAAAGGCTTGGGCTGGTTTGCCTTGCTATTTGGGGAATAAGCGATGTCAAACTCATCTTTTTCTTTTCTTTTCTAGGTTCTTCCAAAAGACAAATTCTTACTTTAGCTGCAAGGAGTTTAGCAGGGCAGTTTAGAGAAAGATTGAGAGCTAGTGCTGACTCATTGATGGAGAATGCATTAGTTATGTAACAAGTTGATACTAACGTTAGAATATTGATGCTATGTAGGTTCTGACTACCAAGATAGATGTTATTATAGTAACTCTAATACATATTTAAATTGTTCTTCCTATTCCATAAGTATTTTGTTTAACTGCATTAGTAGAGTTCAGGGAAATAAATGGAGAAATTTAATATTCAATTACCTTCAAATGCTCTTTTACTCTGGAAAAAATAATAAAAAAGACACAAAAAATAGATTAGGAAAGATTTCACAGTTTTCATTACACAGTAAAAACACAACATACAAGTATTTATCATTAGACAACTTTGTCTTAACCATGAAACATGTTAATTACTTACTGGCATAGAGCTCTTTCTGTTAGTTACACATGTTAGAATTTATATGCACATGGCATGATAACTTTTCCATGCCAGAGTTTCATGCCTTCATATTTCCCATTAGACCTTGCCTTACATTATATGAAATTTGAATTTGTTAAAGTGAATGCAAAACAAAACATGAAATTAATAATTAGATTCTATGGGGTGATATTTCCATTCAGTAATAGGTCACAGATGATGTCAACAGTGGCACATGAGGCGCAGTCAAGTCTGTCTCATTGTGATGTCTTCTATGATCCATTACAGACTGTACAGAGCCATGGCAAAATGGAATCTATTTGTTTTATGACTGATAAGGAAGCAAAATGTTGTTATTGGTGACGTCATTTCTGTGTGTCTTCCAATATATTATGAGTGGGAACCATTCAAAATGTGTGTACAGTTCAGCTGAACATATATTAATACCCTGTACAAGATTTAGTCACCCATTGCACTTCACCATAGTAAAGAATCACAACTTATCTGTTAAACATTCATAGTAATAATAATGCCTTATTACTCCTGGCAATTTATTTATGTGTAATTAGGGTCCATAGCTTTGAGGGTACTTTAGTTTCCTCCCTTGCACCAAGATATTCGAAGGAAATTACATTGTGCACCTCTTGAGAATTTGAGAATTGTATTTAATGCAAGAGTATAATTAATAGTTATTTTAAATTACTATCTGCTGAGTGTTAAAAATGTTAAGTTAAGAGTTTATTGGAGCTAGCCTAATGATCAGATAACTTATGGCTATTTGAATAGATCAGATGTAAAATATATTTTAATTGAATCTAAAATAAAATGCATTGAAGAAGCAATAAAAGACCTTACTAAGGGGGAAAACAGATTTGAAAACAAACAAAGTTGGTGTGAAATAATGTACTATTTTCCATGTTCTTTATTTCCAGGGGTTATTTTCCATACATTTTTGAAGTATAAGTGTTAAACTTTCATTAATGTTTATGTCAGCAATCGTGGGCAGAAGGCATAGGGGATTTAATTATTATACACATGATTATTTTTTTGTGAAAAACAAAGCGTTTTTCTCTGTTTATGGTTGGGACTTCACTGTCTTATTTTTTATGCCAAGAAGCAAATAACAAATAAATGCTGCATGACCAATTTATGGCTGGTTTTGAATTTTGTTTTTGGTAGCTTTGCTTTTGTTTCCTTTATTCCCATTCGTCTTTTTGTGTTTTTGTACAAGTGTTTGTTTGTTTATTTGTTTGTTTGTTTGTTTTTTCATCAAATTCCTTTTGCCCCCACTTCCCCCTCCCTTCCTCACTCTCCTCCCTCCCCTTCCCCCTCTTCTCCCTCCCCTCCCACTCTCCTCCCTCTCTCACACTTTTTTACTCTCTTCTTTTGTTTCCTTATTTCTTCTGTTTCATTAATTGTGAGAGAAGTAATATTTTTTTCTTTTGCTTTTAGATACTTAAAGGTCAAATAAAAACAGTGAAACAAACTTGACACAAGCATTGCTCGATTTAAAAAATTCCTGGGTCGTTGTATCATTTCCTTTTTACCTTTTTTTCAAGCAAAGCGTCATAGTTCTTAATACGCATGCGCATAACGAAAACGACCTGGAGATCTATTTGTTAGTAGATAACTCACCACGCAAAAACTTAACACTTGTAATGATCGAATGAGGAAATTTTCACGATACGAATAAAGATTATTTGCAAGCTTGGAATACTAACTATCCCACAATGATTGCGCACAAAATGGTTATATATAACACTTCGACACCACTTCTTATTATCCTTCTGGTTCATTGAGGAGATGATGATTGGTCCAATCACTGTTCCATCAGTGAGACGTGTCTCCAACTTGTTACGCATAGACACGTGACCTCTCTGATCCTGCTAATTTGGTTAAAGGATCGTGTAAACATCCGGCTCTTCACGTCGGACAGTGACCACCTAATGACTGGCGTTGATGGGAGACTCAATTTAAAATTTACGGAGTGCGAGTGAATCAAGAGATGTCTCGAGTTTCTGTTTGACTGTTTGGGTAGCACTTCATGTTATTCCAGGATTTTACTGAATATGCTTCCTACAAACTCCTTCCTCTTTAAATTAATTAAAACATCGCTGCAATTTTGTGGTGTTATAACAAATTAAGAGTGAATGTCTCTAAAAATCAAAGAAAAATGACAAAATCGCGGACGTGGTAAAAAAATCGTTTCGTCCCATTTTTTGTCTACAGATAGCTATAGGTACTACTTAAAGTGAAGTGAGGTTAGTTTCTGTAAATATTCATTTTAACGGAAATAAATCGATACTAATTGAATGATCGAAAATGAGTGCCTGCCAGCTCTAAATTATGCAGTTTTCAGGCCATCCTTGCATGAACTAAAATGCAACAGCAGGACTTCTCTAGCTATAAATATATACATGTGACCTTCCATTACCAAGTTGACGAAACCACGGGTTAATTACCAGTGGGCGTGTTCGCCATATTTAATTCATGCCAAACCCGGCCTAATGTAGTGTGGCAAAAATGCATGTGGCAGTTTCTCAAAATCTCCAGCAATACTATCACGAGGGCTTATAAGGTGGGTCTTCAAATTCATTGTTTCATTTTTCTGGTATCTTCTGCTGTTTTGATGTACCAACCAACCAAACTTCGCTAAAATTGTAAAATGGTGCCATATTGAAATGAACAAAATCAACATTGCAATGACACAAGCAAAGCATTGTTTGAGTCGCAGCCGCACTTAGCTTTTTATTTTTGCTTTGAAATCAATAGTTCCTTACCCTAGAAATCTTTTATAGGCCCTTGTTATTCCGCTTGGAAGATATTTTCGAAGT